ACGGGAGGGAAGCAGCAGGCGGTTAGAGAAATGAGCAACTCCTCTCCTCTGAGCCGGTCATTTAAAAGAGACGTCCCATTTAATGATGCAGGGAGGCCACAGCAGCTGTCTGATGGACAGATGTGTTCACCGACGCCTTATACTTTTAATTCATTGACAGTGCGGTATAATAGACAATAAAGGCTACAGATCGGACATATTACCAACACACACATATTTAATATAAATATATACAATTCCAGATCAAACAGTATGAGAGCACTCTCATAATAACACATCATAGACTGGGATATAATCCCCCCCTTCTCATGGGTCGCTGAATGGGGAATTGTATATGACGGGCCAACAAGTTGTATTTACAAGTATTAAAAGTAAGCATAGGACACCAAACCAATTGAGACCCGTTTGTGCGCATCTACGCACTGTACACACACACAGCTCCTAAAGCATATTAGATGATATACAGTGGGAAAAAAGTATTTCTTTTTAGTCCAGCCACCCAATATGTGCAGAGTCTCGGCCACTTAAAAAGATGAGAGGCTGTAATGGTTTCATCCTACGGTACACTTCAACCCCTATGAGAGACACAATGGGGGGGGAAAGAATCCAGGTCAAAACACATTTGTAGCGGAATTTTAAAGAAATCATTGGGTAAATTCCCTCGTAAAATAAGTATTTGGTGACCTACAAACAAACAGAGATTTCTGGCCTCTCACAGACCTGTAACTTCTTCTTTAAGAGCCCTCCTCTGTCTCCATCGTTAACTGTATGAAATGCAAAACCTGTCTTGAACCGCGTTATCAGTATAAAAGACACCTGTCCACAACCTCAAACAGTCACACTCCCAAACTGCCACTATGGCAATGGACGAAAGAGCTGTCAAGGACACCAGATACACAAAATGAAAAGACCGTGCACCAGGCTGGGAAGACTGAATCTGCAATAATTAAGCCAGCTTGATGTGAAGAAATCAAACTGTGGGAGCAATTATTAGAAAATGGAAGACATACAAGACCCACTGATAATCTCCCTCGATCTGGGGTCCATGCAAGATCTCACCCGTGGGGCAAAATGATCACACAGAACGTGAGCAAAAATCCCAGGGGGAAAAAACCACACGGGGAGGACCTAGTCAATGACCCTGCAGAGAGCTGGACCAAAGGTAACAAAGGCTACCAGACAGTATACACACTACGTCCCGCCAGGACTCAAATCCATGCAGTGCCAGACGTGTCCCCTGCTTAAGCCAGTACATGTCCAGGCCCGTCTGAAGTTTGCTAAAAGAGCATTTAGATGATCCAGAAGAGATTGGGAGAATGTCATATGATCAGACTGAAACGAAATAGAACTTTTTGGTAAATAATCAACTAACGTATTTGGCAGGAGAAAGAATGCGTGAGTTGCATCCAAAGAACACCATGACCTACGTGTGAAGACCATAGGGGTGGAAACATCATGCATTTGGGCTGTTTTTCTGATAAGGACCAGGACGACTGATCCGTGTAATGGAAAGAATGAATGGGGCCATGTATCGTGAGAGTTTTGAGTGACACCATCCTTCCAGTCAGCCAAGGAATTGAAGATGAACGTGGCTGGGTCCCTTTCAGCAATGACAATGAGATCCCAAACACCCGCTCCGGGCAACGAAGGAGTGGCTTCGTAAGAAGCATCTTAAGGTCCTGGAGTGGCCTAGCCAGTTCTCCAACCAGATTCTCAACCCCATACGAACATCTTTGGAGGGAGTTGAAAAGTGTGTGTTTGCAAAGCGACAGCCCCAAAACATCACTGCTCTAGAAGGAGATCAGCATGGAGGAATTGGGCCAAAATACCCAGCAACAGTGTGTGAAGACTTCAGAAAAGTTTGACTTGTCATTGCCCACAAGGGTATATAACAAAGTATTGAGGATGAAACTTTTGTTAAATTGACCAAATACCTCTATTTTCCCAACCATAATGTGAAATAAAGTAAAATCAGACAATGGTGATTTTCTGGATTGTGTTTCTCATTTTGTCTCTTAGTAGTTGAGGTACTACCTAAGGATGAAAATTACGGCCTTCCTCTCATCTTTTCTAAGTTGGGAGCCAACTTGCCACAATCTGGTGGCTTACTAAATTATTTTCCCCCACTGTAATCCAGGATACAGCCCGTTGTGTATTTTTATTATGTGAAGCTCTACAACTGGTCCTTAGAAAATAGTATCGACTCTTTTCTTTGTAGATATCTACTAAACTACAGCATACAAATACAGAGAGTCAATGTAGGCCTGTTATCACTGAGTGATATACTGATTTTACACACTGCTCCGCTCTTCTGCACGGACCTCACAGCTGTTCTCCTGTAAACAAATCGCATCGCGATGAAAAGCCAGTTACTAAAATAATATCCAGGGGATCGCAATGCAGAGCTGTCATTGGCTGAGATAAGTCCGGCCGTGCGTAACGCCTCCACCGTTCCCGGAGATGCATCCGCGGAGGAGCCGTGGAGGACCCATCAGTGGCCGTTTCTCAATCGCGAGGATGCTGACTTGGTAATCGCGTACTTCCAAGTCACTTCCTGAAGAAACGAAGCAAGAATACTTCCAAGCCACGGATTCGGAAAACGAAGAAGAATGGAACAGGCTAACAAGTGTGCCACTCTCTAACAGTTTCAACATAAACTGTACCGAAAATAAATACCTCACGATGTCTATCTAATTATGAACTTGCTTTACTTTCACGGAACACATTTTTGGTGATAACAAATGTAACAAAGTAACATACTTACCAACACATGTTCTACGCCACTACATACTTACATTTCAATGTGTGCTGTGTCGGTTCAGCCATTCTCCGGGTTTTTGAAATTGGTCCGTGCGCAAAGCATTGTGGGGATTTTAAGGGCGCGAAGTCTACCCATGTGCAGCCTCGACATTTCCCCCAAACCAAGGACGTGGCCTCGGTGGAATTCCAAGTATGCTGGATATTGGAACAGTCCTTCGGCGGCACTCGATGACGTAGCATCCTTGAAATATTGGCTTGGAAGCCAGTATCCTCGAGATTGAGAAACGGCCAGTGTCTCGAGTCCTCGATGCTCGGTCCTCGATGTGCATTTAGAGAAATGAGATGTCCTTCAACATGGCACGCTGAAATAAATTTCCGGGGGTCCTTCTCAGGTCGATTAAATGGAATCCTTGCGTCCCTCACTTGCGTCGTTTCCCTGCGTTTAGTCCCTCCCACCAGGGAAGCACGGAGATACGCTAGGAAACCACGAGAAGGAGGAAATTAGTTTTAAGGGCAATGGGACGTCCTTTCTTCCGGAGCACGTGAAGCGACGTCCGTTTGTGATGACGCTGCACAGCTGTTCGTCTGACAGCAGCCAGCTCTGTCCCCGTTATTTTCACAAACACCCCCGCCTCTGTTGTAGACCCAAATACATTAAATAAAATAAGAACTCATTCTCAAAAAAGATAAACGCCATTCTTAAAATGTATAAAAGAAAAAAGCGATAATGAAAATGTTTCCAATAAATGAATAAAACATTTTTTGACCTCTTTGTTGTTCAGATATATCACATATTTGTAACTAGATGAATTGAAAGAAAACACAGTAGGCCTATAGACTGAGGAGTGACTCTCGTGAGTTTCATGTATTTTCTTCACTCCGCTAGGAAACTGCTCTCGTGTCAAGAAGCATCAGATCAGTGCATGCACTGCATCGTCCAATCAGTGAGCGATACACAGTAAAAGGGCGGGGCGAATATCTGTGGATTTCATCGGAGGATGGTCTGGTGATTCCTCCATTCTCCATTATCGCTCCTTGCTCCTCCGGCAGAAATAAGCGCCATGGGACGGTACTCAAGATGGCGCAGACAAATCAACTTCCGGTGATACCGAGGACCGTGGCCGTTTCTCAATCGCGAGGATACTGGCTTGGTAGTCGCACACTTCCAAGTCACTTCCTTCAGAAAAGAAGCAAGTATACTTTCAAGCCACGGCTTCGGAAAACAAAGAAGAATGGAACAGGCTAACAAGTGTCCCACTCTCTAACGGTTTCAACATAAACTGTACCGAAAATAAATACCTCACGATCTCCATCTAATTATGAACTTGCTCTACTTTCACGGAACACATTTTTGGTGATAACAAATGCAACAAAGTAACATATTTACCAACACATGTTCTACGCCACTACATACTTACATTTAAATGTGTGCTGTGCTGCGTCAGTTCAGCCATTCTCCGCAAGGGTTTTTGAAATTGGTCCGTGCGCAAAGCATTGTGGGGATTTGAAGGACGCGAAGTCTACCCATGTGCAGCCTCGAAATTACCCCCAAACCAAGGACGTGGCCTCGGTGGAATTCCAAGTATGCTGGAGATTGGAACAGTCCTTCGGCGGCACTCGATGACGTAGTATCCTTCCCCCTTTGAAATATTGGCTTGGAAGCCAGTTTCCTCGAGATTTGAGAAACAGCCCGAGGAAATGAAAATAATAGACACTACCGGTAGGACCGAGGAGAGCGAAATTAGAGTAATTAGAGAAAACTCTTATTGTAAGACCACAATTTTATTGAAAAATGGGATCTTCTAAGAGAGACCATTCAATATTTAATGATAAACATTACATTTTTTGGGTATTGCTTATTGTTGACACTGCTGTTTAAAATTAATCGACAGCAATCAGACAAGAAAAGCTTTTTGAAAATAATGTTATATTTTGATTTTAGTGGTTCAAATATAAGGTCAGTGCCAGTGCTTTCACCAGGCCATGACTCACTGCAGAAGCTTATATATAGCACATCTAACGATTTTTTGTGCCCCCCAAGACTTTTCTGTAGCATACAGAACGCCACTGTAGCCAGGCCACCACACGGCGGGGTTTATTTTGATGTATTTAAAACCAGGGGAGGGGATGTTTGGTTGAGGGAGAAGAAGTTATGGGCTGTTGGCCAGGTTCGGTGACCAGAAGGAAATCAAGGGATTTTTTTTTTCCCCCGATTAAAGGTTCCATGAAGGGGATGAAAGGTTTTTCTGTGAATAAGAAAGGAATAAAACTAGAAAGGAAAACACTTTAACTACCAAAACATTTCCCACATTATCCAAATTAATGAAAGACTTTGAAAGAATTGGCCCCAAAACAAGCAAACCAGAGAAAAAGAGGAACTGCTTTTGCCCCAAAGACAATAATTAAAAGAAACCCAAAAGGAAACCCAGGNCCTAGACATTTCTCGCTACGAAGGACGCCGGGCTCGGTAGAATTCCAAGTATGCTGGACATTGGAACAGTCCTTCGGCGGCACTCGATGACGTAGTATGCTTGTGCATACTACGTCATCGAGTGCCGCCGAAGGACTGTTCCAATGTCCAGCATACTTGGAATTCTACCGAGCCCGGCGTCCTTCGTAGCGAGAAATGTCTAGGCTGCACATGTAGACTCAGCGGTCTTAAAATCCCCACAATGCTTTGCGCACGGACCAATTTCCTCAAATCTGTGGCGGAAAATGTAAGGCGGGGGGCCTCTCATATGACGCACACCTGCACACTCGCTCGCCTGTTCCACTCTTCGTTTTCCGAATGCCAGGAAGGATTCTTGCCTAGCTTCTGAAGGAAGTGACTCGGAAGATATGTGCTACCAAGCAAGCGTACTCGACATTGAGAAACACCCAGAGACTTAGAGGAAAAGGCCTTTGAGTAATTGTATTACTCCGTGTTGTGTTTACAATAAGATACAGTAACAATGTTCATGTCATTTTAAGCAACAGTAAAGTGATTATACTCTAAAGTCCTACACTGAAACAAAACACCATTCACTTTGCAGTCTTGTTCATTGTCTTTATTTCCAAAATGGTTGAAATTAAAATGGCAAACAAGCTAGATAACAATGCTTTTTCTGAGAGCATTATGTGCAGAAAGAGCTATTTATTTGGTCAGATAGAGATGAAATAGTTTTTGCTTTTGCAAGCTGTTTTGTATTTTGTGTACATGTTTATGTTGTTTTTGCAAGCTCAGTGGATTATTAATTAATTCACTTTAATGTCATCTGATAATGAAGATACTGTTAAAAGCTTTGAGTTCACATTACGGTGAGTGTTTTCTTGAACTACGATTATCAAGGAAATTAAAAGTATTGATCTGAATTCTCCTGACTTTTTATTTTCATTACATCTTGTCCAAGCCTTTCAGGACCAAATGTAAAATGAATTTTCTTCCCATCAGCTTCACATGCTTACTGTGTTGTAATCTAATAGCATACATTCAGAAACTTAAAGGTGGGGTAGGTAAGTTTGAGAAACCGGCTCGAGATACACTTTTTCTTATATTCCATGGAATGCTCTTAACATCCCGATAGCAATGAATATCTGAAGTGCTTTGACAAAAAATACATAAAAAAACGTGATCTTTGGAAGCCGTAAATAACTGGATGGCCGTAAATAACTGGATGGCCTACCTGCCTGTCAGCCTTCCATCTGTGCACAAACTTATCTCGTGCCCTCATTGGTCATGTGAGCGTTTGTGTGTGTTGGAGGAGGGACTCTGGAAGGAAGTGGCTGTGTATTTTCAAATTCTAGCGCACTCGAGCTGGTTTCTCCTAAATGACCTACCCCACCTTTAACTAGGATGGTTAACTTTATGCTACACATCATGTTAGCCCTGTCACTGTGGGCATGCTAGCATAATGTGGTTAGCATCATGTGGTTAGCATGCTGTCATTGACATTTAGCTCAAAGCACTCTCTCCTGACTCACATAAACCTCTCTTTATAAAAAGCTTGACACTTTTCCAGGAAAAGAAGGCCATATCTGTGAACTGACAATGAACTCAAAAGAGGTTTGATTAAAGTCTATCAGTCTGAAAATTAGCTTTCTATTGATGGCTGTTTTCACACTTTAGAATTCACTTTCTTTCATTATAAAGATGTTATTAAAATCATTTCTATGTGTTTTTAAAACCAATAGATCATCATTAGATGCTGATGTTTTACTTGTCGGTGATACTGCAGTTGAAGGTAATTTATTTTAGGCTTTATTCTACTTTCAATTCCTCTAGATTAGAGCGTCGGCTAAATGTCTTAAACGTCAAATGAAAATGTAATCTGTGGTGTATTTATGTGAGCATTCACTTTTTTTACGAGCTTATTCAATAACCTCTACATTCCTCGTATTCAGCCAAAGATGCTTTAAAAAGCTTTGAGTGAAGCGTAACACAGCTGCTGCTCCGCTCGCGTCTCTGACAGGTACTTAGGAGACGCATTTATTTCCCATTCAGTGGATATCAAGCTCATTCAAAATCTACACCCCTTCCCAAGGGTGCTAGATTGGTAGTCAAGTGCAGCGCTGTTCCTCATCCAGCTTCAGCACAGCAGAGCTAGCACAGCTGCTCCTACTTCAGGTACCTTACGGTTTTTGCTTAGAGACTAACTTGCTTCTCACCTTCACCGTTTGTCAAATTTTCAATGCCTTTCCATGGGTAACGGGTGGGAATAACACAAGATAATTGTTATTGAAGTCGTCAAAAACAAACAAACACAATAAATGTGTTGCCTATCATTGTGTTTTTTTCCTTTTATGCTTTCATTTGAATGCATACATGCCAACCTTTCCAAATCCAAAAGAGGTAGGTTTGCGCGCGGCAAATGTGCACGGCCAAATGAAGTAATCAGGAGAAATGGAACCCCAGTAATTACATGTATAAACCATTTAACATATATTACATAATTTTATGCATTTTTCCAAAAGTTTGGTAAACAGTGACATCAACGACATGTCTGGTCTGTAAAATGCCCGGAAAGTAAAAGAATGGGAGATAAATATCCCAAAGTCTCCACATTTTATTATATATTTTATGTGTTTCTGGTCCTCTTTCAGTTGAGACGGTGTAGATGAAGGATGTGTCAGGATGTAGAAGTCTTGTGTGAACATTTGATAAAGCCAGGTTCATATTCTTGTTTCATGTTGTTGACATATTAGAGTCAAAGTTTTGCACAGAGCGAAATATCTTTGTGTTGCGCGATATATCACAAAATACTGCATTCAAAAAGTCATTTCCTGCATTGTTCTACTGAAAAAGTGTGATATAAATAATGTACAGGCTTTCAGATTGCTGTAGTTCACTAAACACATTAACGACATGTTTGGTGTTGAAAATGTCAGAAAAAGTGAAAGAAAGGGAGATAAATATCCCCAAATCTCAAAATTGTATTATATTTTGTGTGTGTTTGTGGTCCTCTTTCAGTTGAGACACTGTAGGATGCTTCCGGAAAAGACCAGACACTGGATGTCTTTCAGTCGCCAACATGTGTTTTCGAGACACTGATACTAACGGGGAAATCCTGCAGGACTCAAATGCCTCGTCTGGGCTTGCCTTTCCCGCAGCGTTACCCCCGGTCTGCACGTTGTTTCTCTTTCAGAAACACAGAGGACTGTTTGTATGATGGGANCTCGACGCGATGTTTCCCAGTGAGAACAGCGTGAGCCGTCCGTGCAGAAAGCCAGAGCAGATGTGTATACATATCACTCAGTATAACGTCCTACATTACTGTCTTATTGGTATGCGTTAGTTGTAGATGAGCGGTTGCTACAAAACAAAGTCAGTATTGTGTTAAAGGACGGTATTAGTGCTTGCACATGAATAATAATACACAATGGCTGGGTAGTCCTGTTGTGTGGTGTGGGTGTGGTGCCTGTGTGTGTGTGTGGTGTGTGGTGTGTGCTGGTGTGTGTGTGTGTGTGTGTGTGTGGTGCTGTGGTGTGTGTGTGTGTGTGTGTGTGTGTGTGTGTGGTGTGTGTGTGTGTGTGTGTGTGTGTGTGTGTGTGTGTGTGTGTGTGTGTGTGTGTGTGTGTGTGTGTGTGTGTGTGTGTGTGTGGTGTCCTCTGCTTACTTGTAATACTTGTAAATAACACTTTTGGCCCTTAATTTCATTTCCTCATTGTAGCGACCAGAGAGGTGGGGGGGGGGATATATCCAGTCTCTGATAGTGTTACGTTATTATGAGAGTGCTCTCATACTTGTTTGATTCTGAAATCGTATATATTTATATAAATATATATATATCTACCTATATATGTGTGTGTCCGCATCTGTAGCCTGTTATTGTCTCATTATACCGCACTGTGAATTAAAAGTAAATATATAAGTGGTCATGAACACATCTGTCCATCAGACAGAGGGCTGCTGTGCCTCCTGTCATCATTAATGGACGTCTCTTTAAAATGACTGCTCAGAGGAGAGGATTTCTCTAAACGCCTGCTGCTTCCACTCCTCTCTCCTCGGTTCCCCTCCTCGACTCCTCCGCTGCATCTCCGGCTCCTCCGCTCGCATCTCCTGTGGGTGGGACTAAGACACGAAGATAGGAGTTGAGGAGGGGAATTAGAGAAATGAGAAAGGGCCAAGGTCTATGCCCAACAATAACATTGTGAAATAATTTTTTAACCGCACATAGATAAGACTTTACGCACTGCAGGAATGTGGTCGAAATGTTGTGTCCGTCTTGAAAGTCCTGAGAGAAAAGACAAAAATCCACATAAGAATTGGATAAAATCTCAGCTACTTCAGTTTTAAAATGTGCACTCTCTGAAAAACATATTTGCAAATGAAAATCACTAACAATCCAAAAGGTGTCGGTGGTGTGCGGGTCATGCACGGCGGGTGGAGCTTACATCCCCACCATGGCAGAAGAGACAGTGATGGTGCACCGGATAGGAACCATATTTCTGGGCGGGCCACCGCTCGTTAAGGCCGCCACGGGAGAGGAAGTCACACCAGAAGACCTGGGAGGAGCCACGCTTCACGCAGAGTACGTCACTAAACACATTGTTATTATAATTAAAGAAATAAGAATACATTCACATTATCATGCCTGTTGATTTCTCTTCAGGGTGAGTGGCTGTGTGGACCATTTTTCCTGGGATGAAAAGGAGGCGTATGAATGTACCAGAAACATTGTGTCCACCCTCAACTTCCTACTGCCCGAGGAAGAGGAGGAGGATGAGGAGAGGACGAGGAAGAAGAAAGCTGAGGAAGAGCCGCTGTATAGTTCAGAGGAGCTTCTGGGGCTCGCTCCTAAAAGTTATAACTACAGTCTGGATGTTAAAATGGTACAGTATGCAAGTGTACAGGCAGTAACTGAAGCTGACAGTGAACACTTTAAATGTCACTTTCTTGTAAATGGTCACTTCACACTTCGTTGTGATTTTTGGAAAAGTCATTTTCCTATCATGGCGCTCATGTTGCTGTCTCACTGATACAGTATGTATGAAAGCTGTTTGTTGTTTCTGTGTGTCTGTCCAGGTGGTCAGTCGGCTGACAGATGGTAGCCGCTTCCAGGAGTTTAAAGCTCGATATGGAACCACGCTCATCACTGGTTTTGCAAAGATTCATGGGTAAAAGATACAATCATACACACAGGGATTAAGATGTAGGTTAAGATAGCAAGGGCAATAACAGGAAACATTTCAGCCAACAATCGGTCTTTAAGTATGTTAGAATAATAGATTTGTTGACCAAAATGCACGGTGCTTGTTAACCTGCCAACCCCCCTCTCAATCCCTGTTTGTCTTTGTATCTATAATATTTTCTAAAACAAAAAGAGTCCTTCGTAGGGCACTTAGATATTCGCTGGTGGTTTAATGAAACTCTTATTGATTCTGCCATTGCTTCCTTACGGCCCGTCTACACTACGGCTTCAAAAAAAGCTTGCCGGCGGGCGTGTCTGAAGCTCGACCAACAACCAATCACATGAATCTCCCGCCCCTGACACACAAGCAGCGGTTTGATTGGCTAGAGCTTGTAGTGGCATATGATTTGATTGGCTGACGCTTCCACCGAAAGCTTCAGAACCCACAATTCAGTTCGTCGAAAAGCGCAACGTGACGTCACCCCATTCAAAGACGCGTTGGAAACCTTTTTGGAAATTGTCGAAGCTGTAGTGTGGACGGGCCGTTAGACATTTGCATAATTTAAGGCTTACCTTCAGAAACACAGTGACCCCTCACCCTGCTCTACATGCTCTAGTTGTGGTATTACTTGTTCTTGAGTATATGTGAGCACCTTTTTACATCTGTGTATGTGTTCTGTGTTAGCAACTTAGTGGGAATAGTAGCCAACAATGGAGAGCTGTCATACCAAGCGGCACTGAAAGGAAGTCAATTTGTCCAGTTGTGTGACCAAAGAGACATCCCACTCCTCTTCCTCCAGAACACAGTGCCCTCCGCAGCGCTTACACTCACCACCACTCAGGTACACACCCCCAGTGACACACACAGGCCTGCTGAAATACAACATACATACAACATAAAACTCAAAAGTAGAATTGATCAAACTAATATTTTGTCTTTTTTGGATTTATATCTGATTAAAGTTATGATTATTATTATTGTTTAAATCAATGTTGTACTATTCACATCTTATACTGCACTTTAACTTTTATTATATACACGTGTTATTCATGTTTTATTATCTTTGCTTTTTAATGTTTATAATGTGTTTTATGCTCTTAAAGGGGACCTATCATGCAAAATGCACTTTTTCATGTCTTTTTTATACATAAATATTTGTCCCCTCTGTGTAAAGAGATTCTGAAAGTTTCAGGAAACAAGATTCCCTCTCTTTTTGTCCTGATCCATTTATATAAAAACCTGTCTGAAAATGAGCTGATCAGATTTTGGCCACATTATGATGTCATAACGATTTTTTTGGCTTGTGTAACCATTAGCCAATAACCAACCAAGGTTTTTAACCAAATATCTTGCAGACAGGTGAAGGGAGTGGCTCCTTATTTTCTAGATTATGGGATGCTACAATGCATAATCTGTTTGGTGTTTCGAGCCAAACAGACCTATAATATATTGATGAAAAACAGTATAATAGGGGACCTTTAATGTCTTTCATTTTTGTAAACCACTTTGAATTGCCTTGTGTTGTGCTATATAAATAAACTAGCCTTGCCTTGATATTTTGGGACTTTGGGGAATTAATACAATTGTGGAAATCATGAAACATCTGGGTTTTTTTTCTCTGTGTTTTTTTTCTTTCTCCTCCAGGCAGAGATGAACACCAACCGCCTGAAGGCTCAGGGTTCGATGATGTCAGCGGTAGCGTGTGCCTCCGTCCCAAAAATCACTGTGGTAATTGGTGGTTGCCATGGTGCAGACAGCTACGCCATGGTGAGATTCTCATCATCTTTTCCGTACTTTTCTTCATCATCATACTTTACACTCATGTAGAATCTAGAATAACTCCGCAATAATTTGAATCCTGTTTCCGTTTTTTTTTCTAGTGTGGAAGGGCTTTTGACCCTAATTTCCTGTTCCTGTGGCCCAATGCCAGAGTGTCGATGACGGCTCCAGGTCACGCTGCCTCTCTGCCTTGCCCTGACAGTGAGGCAGAAGAGGAGGAGGAGGAGAAGAAGAAGCAGGAGGACAGGCTAAATAAGAGACTGGATGAGGAGAGCTCAGCATTCTTCTCCTCAGGCAGACTCTGGGACGATGGAGTCATTCTGCCTCAGGACACCAGAAAGGTATAAAGCATTACCAATACAATTGATCTTTTCCCGCCTCCATTTTGACATATTTTAATACTAATGTGTACATGTCTGAAGGTTCTCAGAGACTGCCTTGACATCATCAAACAGCAGCAGTATCAACTCACCACAGAGAGAGTCCGGTCAGCACTTCTGCGTGTATAAAGGCTGCCATCTTCCTTCTCCTCACTACCTCTGGACTCTACAAGCATCCGTCCACTGAGCCGCTGTTTTTAATTTAATCTGGTTGCTATAGGCCATTGGTGACATTTACCAAAATGTGCCAAAAGAATCAAAGCCAGCCCTGGCCTTTATTCAGTATGGTCATTGAGGGTGATGGTGAGCATCATCCTAAAAGAGAAGAATGGGGAAATCGCAGCATTTAAAATAATCTACATACCTTTAAAAACACAAATGTGTTAATAAATTACCGCAACATCTTGTCAGATACTTGGTAAAGTCACTCGCCAACTTTCCAAAAGGTTCAAGAGTCCTCAAATATTGAATTTGTTTTTAGGTTTGGACCTAATACATTTTTCTGTCTGCTGTAAACACAGGTGATAATTTAAAGTTTCATTTTTGGTATAATATTTCTCAAAGTTATGTTGGTTTATTGAATTTAAACACTGAAAAAAGTCCCGGTTAATCCTACAAAAGTGCCTCATCATGTCTTGAGTACATAAAGAAACGCTACATTGAAATGTAATCAATGCTACAAGAAGTGTGAAGTATTGTGATTAATATATGACTGTTACATTTCTTTTGTTAGCACAAGTACTGTGTTTGAGCCTCAACCGAGTTGTTTTTTTTCACAGATGTGCCACTTTTTATTAATTTGTTATTCAAAAGCCCCACATACTGCACTGATATTTTTTCTAGTAACAATTTATTTAAAAGTAATTTCTGTCAAATGAACAGATTATAAGATATCATGCTCTGTAATTATGAATGTAAATTAATAATAGTAATGTAGTTTTATTTCATTTGTATTCTAAAATGAACAAAAATGTAAATACAGTTTTCAATTGAAAAACTTGTGTGATTTTTCTTATAGGGGGGATATTCCATAATCGAATGTCCCAGTTTACTTATAAGTTAAAACATTTCCCGTTAAGTTTGCTGTAACAAAGGTATTGTTATGTTGAAGTGAGTACCACTGCTTGCATCCAAATGTGAAATTAATTCAAAGGAAATTGAAATAACATTAACGTTTGCAAGCAAAAAAAAATCTTAAACTCTTGACGAGATCATAGTCAGTGAAGTATGATAGACGAAATGCACTCTATGGTGACCTTTCAGTGGAGAAAATAGGATGATCCACTACCATTGAATACCAGCTGGGGGCAGCCATGATGGAAAGTTCAATACAAAACTTTAAATTCTTGGTCAAAATGTGGAACCCCTTTTTAAAGGCTTTTTTTTTATATTTAAGCATCACAAATAATGTATTTTATTGCATTAGTTGAATTAAACCTTCTGTAAATGGAAACATTTACCTAAATAAGAGAGAAGCTTTTCAGATGTTTTTTTACCTGTAGAGTTTGTAGAGGGCGCAAGTGAGCAATTCACATAGTTTAAGTACCACATTTATAAGTATTCTTAATGGGGTGGAGGGGGGGCACATCGGCTTTGCCTTGTATATTGATGAGTAGTTAACTTCCACCACTGCTCATTTGAATCCTACTCTCAAAAGGTGTGGCTGTCAGCTTCCAGAAGTCCTCATCTCTTAAAAATGTAAATGCTTTGGATGTTTGAGCTTCCCTGTGCAGACCGAGGAATCTGTAGAGTTTAAAATTAGAAGCATGTTTTCACATTTATTTGCTGAAGAGACTTTTTCTCTGCACTGTCTGCACCATAAATCTGACATTAGGATGCATCAGCAGGAGCATCATTTTGGGACATTTTGATATCCTGGTCCAACATGCAACTTGTGCAAGTGTTTTGGAAAACTCAAAGCCTCCATTTCTCAGTGTAAGTGTCCAGCAACTTAACTTTTGAAATTATTATTATGTGCATATTCATGGGTTCAATAGGACTGATTACAGAATATGAACGGAATTTACCTTTTTTTTATGAAAAGGGCAGATTTTTAATCAAAGGAGAGTGATTTAATCCCTTAAAACGTGTTCAGGTGTAATCTTCCAAACAGACATCTGGGTCTATCTTTGAGTGTAGCCTACTGTTTCCAAACATTAGCATAACTAAAGCAGTGGCTTAATCAAGCCCATCCTCCCCAGTTGCAATGTCTCTAACCTCCACTGTCTTTCTGTTTGACCCCCACCATACTATCATTCTGCCTTTAACTGAACAGCATGATCCCCACAAAAGGCCATTTAAAGTATGCTAATGTTAATTTTGTGTGTGTGTGTGTGTGTGTGTGTGTGTGTGTGTGTGTGTGTGTGTGTGTGTGTGTAGTGTGTGTGTGTGTGTGTGTGTAGTGTGTGTGTGTAGTCGTGTGTGTCGTGTGTCGTGTGTGTGTGTGTGTGTGTCTGTGTGTGTGTGTGTCGTGTGTGTGTGTGTGTGTGTGTGTGTGTGTGTGTGTGTGTGTGTGTGTGTGTGTGTGTGTGTGTGTGTGTGTGTGTGTGTGTGTGCGCGTGTGTGTGTGAGAGCCAGTGAACACAAAAGGGTTGATTATTGCTGATGGCAGCTCAATGACTTCTTGGATCACAGCAAACTATGTGGAAGTCAATATGAATGCCAATGTATTCACACATTTTGGTGAAATATAGCATGTTTTAAGACGTACATTTACTCTTAATAGTAAAGTAATAGTTCCATATTGGAACTCAACTCATGTATGCTAGGCAATATATTTCTTTACTTTCTTTTTACAAATGGTATACTTACCTATGTATGGCTTTAAATAATTGCATTGCTTTACGGTTATAAAATAAAGTAAAGAGGTTGTCTCAACGGTAAAACGACATCACTAATTTTGTTTGAAACAGCTAAACGTGCTGTCTTCATGGTCGCACTGTTTTCTTACTGTACTCCACCCAACCTCTATTCTTCGAGCCTGATCACGTGACGCATGGGTCCTCCAATCGCGTTGCAGAATCACACGGCTCGTAATTTTGAACAGACGACTAGCAGCCAGGCAGAGCTGGGTATTATCAATGCTGCCATTCACACAATCCTACATCAAAACATCGGCTAAATCCTCCTCTGAGTAATGGATATTTTGACCTCTTGTCATATCGTTTAGAGGAAAAACGTTCTGTGTTTTTGAGATAAAAATGAATTCTCATGTTATCACCCCAGGACCGTACCGGGCCACCAAACTCGTAAGTTACAATTTGTTGATAAGTGCTTTAGCTTCCTAACGTTAGAGGTTGCTAACTGCTAATTCATGAGACACATTTCCGTTTACCGCAACGCTATAACGTTAGCTGGTTAATGTGACTTTACTCCTTATCGTAAATAACAGTTTGTTGGTTACCTTTAGTGTTTTCATAGAGTTAATATCGTCTTTTGTGAGTTCCTTACCCTAGCATAATTTAAATTAATCCTGCTCACTTGTTAACTTGTCCAATACGTAGCTTTTCTCAACGTCTTTTCTCCACATTATCAGGAATGCATCAAGTATTCTTGTGTATCTGTTAATAATGCTTTAGGCTGACATAACATAACAGTTTCCGTTCAATTATTAACTAGAACATATTCAATATTGAGAAGGTTTAATCAGATGATTTGCGTGCAATAACTATTGTATTCTTAAATGTCAATTGTTACCAACTTTAAGCTAAAAAGATACTGAGCAATACATCAGGATTATGCGAACTGTTGGAGGGTTTATTAGACAGTTTTGGATCAGATATGTGTTAATTATACCCCTACATTCAAAAACATTTTGATGGTGGACTTATTTTACAAATTACATATATTTTGTTTTCCTTTGAGGCAGGCTTTAAGTCTTTAAAATATCAGAAGAAGGTGGAAAATTACTCTCGTAAATTCCAGGTTTGAAAACAAGGAGATGTCTTCAACTCTGACTGCAACTCAAACATATTCAACTCTCCCTATTGACAAGGTGCCAGAGGTGGGAAATAGTCTTAAATGGTACAAATTCCAACGCGTGTAGTACAAAGCCAAACCTTACACCTAACTCTACAACCCTTTGACCTTTGACCCACTGGGTGTCCCAGAAAACGACAGTTGTTCTCACAATAGACTGGTTATTTATACTACTATACTACTACTATAAGTGTTTTTGGTTTTAGGACCGTGAGCCATAAATCTTTTTAGGACTTCTTGGTTGTCTGCATTATTTTGTCTCAACGTTTTCTCAGATCAATGCTTTACCGATGCAAAATTTTTTCTGTTTCTTTGAAAGAAATGTTTGCAAACCTTTATTCAAACTACACCAGTCTTGAAATAAAAGAAGAGATTAACACAAGTTAATTTACTAAACTCCACCCTCTCTGTTTCAGTGGAATGAGGTGACTCGGTTGTTTCGGTCTGGAATGCCCCTCAGGAAACATCGGCAGAACTTCCGGCACTACGCCTCCTGCTTCGCCGCCTCGGCCGCTGTGGAGTGGATGCACCAGCTGCTACGTAACAACAGCAATTTTGGCCCTGATGTCACCAGACAGCAGACAGTGCAGCTCCTGAAGAAGTTCCTGAAGAACCACGTGATTGAAGACGTGAAGGGTCGTTGGGGCACAGAGGATCTGGAGGACAACAACACTCTGTACAGGTAGGCATCTTTCTCTATAAACATACACAATTGATGTATATTACACTCCCCCACACAAAATAATGCTATCGATATCGTCTCTTTTCTCCCCAGATTCCCCACCACTTCCCCTCTGAAGCCAATTCCCTGTCCAGCTTCAGGCTTGGCTCCTGGTTCTGTTAAGAAAAGGCCTTCATTCAGGGAAAGGGAGGGTTTCTTCAAGTTTAGGGGCATCAAGAAGCAAAATGAGAAGGAGACGCAGGTAAGCTAGACAGGGCAATGTTTCTATTTTATGTACAACTTTATCACAAAAGCCAGACCCAGGTTTGACGTACGGTCCGTATTTGAAAAATAATCAGTTTTGTGATTCTCTGTTTGTGCCTTCCAGGAAAATGTCGATCCTGCCCTCCAAGCAGGAGGAGAGAATCAGCCAATAGGAGAGCAGCAGGTGCCGAGGCGAGAGCTGACAGTTGAGGATGAACAGGAGATCTGGAAAGACATCACCATGACACAGTATAAACCCCAAAGATATCACATTTCACAATCAACATCTTTTTGATACATCTAAACTAAGCCTTGAAATCAGAAAGTGAAGGAGATTTTTTGTGTGGCTGAAGCTTGTGTGTTGTGTTTCAGCCTGCAGAGGATTCTGGGCGTTTCATCTCTTGATGAGGTTTTAGACCAGCGTTATGTAAACCCACAGAACATCGTCCATAATATGACCAATGTCAACAAGCATGGAGTGGTCACTCTGGATGACAAAACGAGTAGGTTTATACATCTACAAAAAACAGTTACATCACAGTATGAAAAGTATAACAAATCCTCATATGCTATAAGGATTCTCTTTTTGAATGAATACGAAGATACAATATAATCTTTTAACTTTGAAACAGTTTTTATCAAAAATCTGAGCATTGACACGTGAGATATTTTAGATTTTATTTTAAGGTTATACAACAAACTAACGGTTCAATGTTCTGTAACTAGCAACCAGTCTAACCCGTTTATCGTCTCTCCAGATGACCTCCCACACTGGGTTCTGTCTGCCATGAAGAGCCTGGCCAACTGTGAGTAACAACACGCTGCTTTTACACCTCTGTGCTGCATGAACATTGCTAAGAGCTGATCATGGGGAAAAAATAACAACCTAATGGGAGACAATACAAGGGAAACACTGTTTTTGCGCTGTTCAATTTCAAGAGTTCCGGCTAGTTTGCATTCATAACAGAACATTCTTTCTGACTAGTGCAAAGATAACATCCGAAATACACATTAAGATGTTCATCCTTCTTTGTTTATTCACGTCTATAGCTTTCTCTTAAATGCACACACATGACATTATATTTTTTCTGTATATCCAAACTAAATATATATGAGAACTTGTAATACAGAAAATAATTAGCTAATTTTCAATGTTTAATTGTGCCTTATTGCGTCATTAAACATATTATTTCTTTAACTTATTACTTATACTTAACAAAATCATTGCCTTGGATCAACTTTCAGAATTATTAAGAATCCAATAGAAAGTTACAAAATGAACCTTGTACATAAGGCTTTGTTTTGGGACCTCTCAAATATCCTTCCATTTCATGGTAGATGCATTAACATGATTTTTATTTCCAGGGCCGAAGTACGACAGCGAACAGCCGTCCTATCCCGGCTTCGAGAGAGACGTCTTTAAAACGGTGTCAGATTACTTCTACAGCCTTCCGCAGCCAGTACTCACATATGAGCTG